AAACAAAATGAAGCCATGAACTACTTAGGGCGATGACTGCTTTAGATTCCCTTTGATCCCTCTGCAGACCCAGGTCTAATTGAGAGAATCTGTTCATACATTTTGATATTTTTTTTTGTCTAAAAAGGTAACTAATCAGAATCTCAATTTAAAAAAAAATATTAGAAGGAAAAAAAAAAAGAAGCCATGTTGCTATTTTTTCTCTTTTAAATCCATTCAGATATACAACAGTATCACAAAATTAACAGACACAAAAAGATGAATTAATCCTTATTGAGGTATTTGGTTATCTCATTTCTGCTCATCTGAAGTCAATGAAACTTTGTTGTATACCAGCAGGGAAAGAACTTGTAAGAGCTGCTCTTTACTAAGCCTTCACTCCAGAATTTTACCCTGTCACATGACGAAACAGAAATAATATCTCTTGTCAGGAATGACCATAATGTACTGTGAGGTTTCCCATTTATTGTGGTAGCTATACTATTGAAGAACGATTGCCATCCACAGGTGTTTTATTTACAGTGTTGTTTTATACTTCATCTTCTAAGTTTAGGTAGGACACAAGTTGCATGACCTCCAGACCACTTCTGGCCCACAGCACACCGAGAGTTCCGCAGAGTTCTGTTTGATCAAAAAGTGACTCTTCCATTTCAGTTTGCTGAAGTCCCAGATATTTCTTTACTATCTTCTAAAAACAAGTTATTACCTCTTACATTATGTCCTGGAAAGTAGTTATAACTTCTGATCAGTCCATGAGCCTGCATTTCCGTTGGCAGATGTCTGTTTGATCCTGTGGCCTGAATAAAGAAGTCATCTTTTGTGCAATGAAGTCAACTTTCCTGCAACCAAACTTCTCCTGGAGCCAGTCAGAAGGTGTAAGCTGAATGAAAGGTTTCATTTTCACTAGAAAATGCTATTTGTTTGGACTGAAATTTTCGTAACAGTGCATCTGATGCCAAAAACAGATCTTATGGCTAAGATTGTCATGGCTAGGATGGAACTTGGTCAAATGAGGACACTGGTGTCAAGTTGGCAGCCCAGAGGTCACACATACCTGTGAGTACCTGACCACCACGTGAGTAGCTGGCCACCAAGCTATTAAATCTCTGGAAGTATTTGCTTTCCTATTGCATTTTGGAGGGGTAAAAATCCACAGATGACCTTTTCTTTTTCCAAATTATTACAGAATGAATTCCTGTTGTCACTTCTAGTTCAAAGTCCCCTTCCTGACCTCTATCTCCCTGTTCCCATTTCCTCCAACTGCCTCTCTGTATCTGGGATGGAGATTCAGGCTTAAACCCTGTCACTTCTTTGCTGACTCAGTTTCCAACAAAAGACCTTTGTGATGTCTGCTTATGATCATGCAATAAAATAACCAGATTAATAGACTTTAAGCCAGCACCGGGACATGAAGTTAAGGTAGAGGGTACAAAGCATTAGCTAATACTATTCTCCTCATCTCCAGAAAAGTTTTCTCTGAAGTGGTTTATTCATACTCCAAATTGGATGAAGCCAAAAAGGGAGTGCTAGCTTTAAGGTATACAAAGTGTATACTTAATAAAAGGAAGCTTTCAAGAGAGGAATGTGTGAGCTAATGCAATCCTAGAGCAAGAGTAACTCATGCTTTAACAAGTTACATGCATTTTTGTGTCTGTGGATGATAACTTGCCCCTACTTGTCAATGCCAATTATCTCCTACTAAATTGTTCAGCTCTTAGTGGTCAAGAGATTCAATGCTTAAATGAACAACTCTGAAGGTGTCAGAGAATAATTTCTTCACATATATGGATTAGGGAGGTAAGATGTAAACACGTCTATAGCACAAGGTCATTTGGTGTACAAGCTCCAGTTGGATGGTATATACATGTCAAGGAAAAAAAAAAATGTCAGACTGAAAACAAGACATTTCAATTAACAATGAGAGCCAAAACCATCAGAGCATGTGATAATATCCTTGTCATTTAGCATCTTGAAACAAAAATTGGTAAGGGAGATTTTGTAATTATATCAGAGAAGGTCTGTTTTTAAGGAAAACAAGGCACATATATGCTAGGAACAGCAGAGGTTGATTGCTCAAGGGCAGAAGATTGACTGGCTTCTCATGCCAGTCAACTTATACTCTAGTTTTCCATCTGCATAAAATATTTTCACTGTCTGTATAAATTTCATTCTCTAGTTTAGCTTAAAAGACATTGACTTTTGAGTTTCATTTGGCATCCACGTATTTCAATGTGTTCAGCCATAAACTCCTCCACATAGATTATACATCTGAACTAGTAAAAGCTTTCGTTAAGAGGGAAATGGTATGCTTCTGAGTTATTGGAAAGTTCAGGAGGTGAAAAACATTTCCTGCTTCTATAAATGACATGTTTGAAAATAAAGCATTTTATTACAATGGTCATTTGGAAGCTGCAGCTGGCAGCTCTCACTTTGGGGGGAAAAATGAATGTGGCTTTGACAGTAGCAAAATAACAGTTTACATATGAGGTCGCTAACAGTATTCATAAATATGTAATTCTGTCTTAAACTGAGCTTTCCTTATGTGTCAGGAGGCTTTCTGAAGAAAATGTTAAGACACAAATTAAAATATTCCTAAAGAAAGCTTAATTTGGGGGCATAGAGGGAGGATAAGGGAGGGAAGGAGAATAAATTCTTAGCACTCCAGGGTAATTCAGGCTGGAAGGGAACTCAGGAGAGCTCTAGACCAATCTTCTCCTCTGAGCAGGATCAGCTCTAGGATCATACCAGGTTGTGCAGGACCCTGCAGTCTGGTCTTGGAAACATCCAAGGATGGAGACCTTGCAGCCTCTTGGGTCAATATGCTACACCGACCTTATGAGGGAAAGCTTTTCTGTCAGCATGTTAAGCCACTTGACTCTAGGAATTTGAAATCACCAGAAAAATGTGACCAATAGTGGCCTTTGAGACGCCTCTCTTTTTTTGAGAAGACAGGATCGTACACCATTCATCTCTGGAGGTAGAGCTTTGTCACCAGAACACTCTGTTTTGGGAGAATAGTTATCCTCTCTGTCCTGATGGAGCTATTCCAACTTATAAGATATTTCTGAGAGGTAAAGCGAGTAGAAGTCTGTTGGGTGGACCACTGTTGGAAGCCAACAATTCTGATGTTTTGCTTTGCAGTATATCACATGGGGTCTTACCTGGCAGGGTGCTCTGCTACTGCCTGTTAGATGGAATCCATCAGGTAGGGTAGGAAAAAAGAGTAGCTGATTTGTAGTGCCAGATGGACTTTTTGCAGTCTGGTCCCTGTCTAGACTCAAGGAGCTTTCCTGAGGGCTTCAGGTGCCTTCACCACCACAGAAGAGCAGATTGGGGTTTCAGAGGCTTTAAGCACTTTCCATGAGCCACCAGCTGTGAGTCTCCAGGCTGGGCTGTGGACCTCACTGTCTGGTCTGCACAGGGGACAGCAGGGAAGGGCTTTGCTATTTGTTTCACCTCCCACGCTACAAAGATGTAGCAAAGGACAGAAATCGCACTCAAGTTTCAACTTTAAACACTGAAAATAGCTGAAGAGCAGTGAAAGCGTGCTTGGGAGTAGCAGTCTGTAGAGCTTAAGTGTTTGGCATGCAGTTATGTGGTGTTTCAGTAAAACTCGGTGTTTCAGTACAACTCCTCACACACTCCAGTTTAAGCATCTGTTTAACTATTTGGCTGACCAAAGCCAAGAACTCTGAATATTGTGTAATCACATCTCATGCTGATACCTGTTAAGGTATGTATGTATTATCAATACTGGATATCTGGATGTAATTTGAGCTCTGTTGATAAGTCCCCAGGGTTTTCTTTTTTCTTTATTTATTTATTCTTCTCCGAGAATTTAACTTAATATATTGTATAAAAAAATATCGATGTTTATTTGTCTGTGAATGTAGGAGGTAGGAATTTTGAGTTTATTTGCTTGTAGATTCTGACTTCTTTTGTGGCTTTAGAAGTGGCATGTATGTATCCAAAATACGATTTGCTTTTAAACACCTACCAGTCATTAGGCTTTATGGCTATTGATTAATAAATTCTTTGTGGAGGAGGTATTTTTAATATAAAGTGCCACAATGTGAAGGTATGTTTTGACAGTCTTTTCTATGCATAGTCAATATTGATTTTTATTATTGTTTACACAAAAATTAAATTAATTGCTTTGTTTTCTGACACTTGAAGAAATACCATTGAAAACTCTAAATATATACATAGGTAATAGTTGTGCATATGACTGATATTCATCTGTGAAGTTTGACCACCTTGGAACGGAGACTGGTGCTTTAAAAACTGTTTTTCATATCAAATACTATTGTAAATGGAAAATTTTATTTTCAAAGCATTTAAGGGAATGACAGCAAGGTCTAAAAATGTGTATTCGAGTGATCTTTACCTTCACAATCCTGTTACTATGAATGATACTACTCATATGACTGAAGGTTGCAAAACTAGATCCAGAGTAAATATTTGATTTTGGAATAATATTCTATGTACTTTGAAGTGTTATTCAAGATACTCTAAAGTATATTTATAATTTACTGGAAATATTTACTGTTCTCAACTTATTTTTCTTTCTCTTTTGGTAGTATTTGATGTATACTTACTCTAACTTGTAATAGCCCAGTGTATAACAGATGTTTTCTACTCATTTTGAACACTTTCAGGTTAAGTAACCATAGATTAAAATACATCCTTTAAAAAAAAAAATCAAAACAAATACAAAAATTTTTCATTTTCTTTCATCATAAAAATAGGTCTAAGAACACAAGAGAAAATGTAAAATAAAATTACTGAAGTTTAGTCTGATCCATGAAATGGATTCTGATATGATTAAGTCTGTATTTCCAATCAGTCATTTTGAAGACCCTCATGACAAAATCTAGAGGAAAATTTACATACTTAAAATGGTATGCCATTGGAGTTGAGAGACCTATACCAAGACAGTGATCTGGGTAGTTTATTTTTGTCTCTTGTGTCTTGACCACGTTTTGAAAATTAAGTGCTGAGCACCTGGCCGGGCTGCCTCCATGGAGCTCTTGCCTCCTCCCGGGATGGCTCCGCGCCTGCCATAGCTGTGGGCAGCGTCACTAACACTCACCTTGTCCATGGCTGACTCACGACTACTGCATCTGCTGAGAGGTAAGTAAACTGATCTTTCTTGCCTCCACAGTTCCTAGTTCTCCTAAAATTGTGCAGATGACTCTTGACTATTCTGTGCTGAGGTATCGTTCATCTCTTGTTGAAACCGAATTATGGTGCAGCCGGGAACACAAGCCTCATACAGCTAAAGGAACAGGGGAGGCAGTCAGGATTGTGGCCAGGGAGACTCTGGGGATACTTGTTTGGTCCCCATCACTGTCATTTCTAACAGGGGAAGTCAAGTCTCTTAGGACTCCTCCAAAAGACGTAACCATTGTGAGTTAGGTGATTTTGGCAATAATGGTTAAGATATGATATGGAGATTTCTGTGCTATGCAATCCATCATTAACTAAGGACCTAAATTCTGCAAATGTATCTCCTAAGTGTTGTGCTTGCTGTCAGTAGTCGCACTGAAAAATTTTACTAGTGAGTATAACTTATATATTTATTTTTTCTAATAGCTTATTAGCATGACCTACTTGCTGCTTGGTTTCCTAAAAAATTGTTTAAGAAACTCATTCTCTAAAAATCCATTTTAGAACACTTCGCTTAACTATTTACTTCTTTGATAATATTTAAATTTTTATTTAAAGGATGTCAGGTCTTAAGAGAGCTGTTTAACAACTGGCACTGCGTTGTTGTGTCCGTGCATGGATACCAACACATGTGCCCAGCCAACATTTTTGTGCGTATGCATGTGATTAATGTACTTGGGATGTTTCTGCTCATAACTGGACTGAACCTGGTCTGACATATATTTCAAGCAGACTTCTCAAAGAAAAGAGGAGCCTGGTGTGGGGGAGAATGCACAGAGTCAGGCAGTTTACCTTCATCTGACTTACAAAAGTCTCCAGAGATTTGTTTTATTTTGACTATGATGGTGAAAACAAATTCACTGCTCATGCAGGTTGAGATCTTATCAGACGAACCTTAGTACAAAGCACATTTTACATTCAAGCTATGAACCCTTGAAAACAGAGGCTTATAAGGACATTACTGTCAATGTTTAGTGTTGCAGTAGAGTTGATGCCAGTATGGTTGGTTAAAATGATTTGTTTTTAAAGTAAAGATTTGGATCTGTTTTTACACAGTAATGCCTTGAAAATAGAGGGAAAACATTACTTAGGATGAGTCATAAAAGTGCTTTAAAAATGCTATTAAGATTTAAGGCATAATGTAGATCCTATAAATCTACTCTGCATTCTTTCACTAGGAATGGCTGACTTTTATAAAAACTAGGGATTGTAAATCAAGAACCTAAATAAGAGGGGTTTTTTGACATGTAAATACAGATTATACATTAGCTGAGCCCTGACTTGACTGCCTCTTGGTTCCACAGGGAGCACACAAAGTAGGTGTTTATTCTCCTGAGCAACAGTTTTGCCTTGTAAAATCTGGTAAGCGAAAATACAGTTTATCATTCCTCTGGGGAGAAACTTTTTTCCTAGTGATTTGGGAAGGGGATTTTCTTGCTCTCACTCAGTCCTGCTTTTCTGCCTCCCTGTTTGTTCATCTCTTGTTTAGGATCGTGTGTGTGTGTGTGTGTGTTTTGAGGAGATGGCATTACTTCTGAAAGCACACCTGAAGGTCTCTAAATACAAATATTAACTAGAAGGATAACCCCCTCACCCCCATGAAAGCAAACACACTCAGGTACACACGTTCACACACACACCCTTCCTTGTCCGTGTACACAGGAAGAGTTTGCTCTGTTTCTGAAGTTGTTTTCAGAGACAGCTTCCATGCCAAACTATCTTTCAAAATCCAGTAGATGTCCTTAGGAAATGCCAACAGCCTTCCATCGTGTTATCACGAATATATTTGACCATTTGCATCTTTGGCCTCAGCTTAATTTGTTTTCGCCTCGTACCCCTGTCTCCACGCCGTAACTCATACGGGGCAATCTTGCACAGCGAATACTCCCCTGCCCCTCCAGCTGCTTATCTGAACAGAGACAGACCTGGCGCTCTCACAGCAGCCAGCTTACTTAACCTTATCTGCTTTACGCTTCTATATTTAAACAAGGAGGGCTCTTTGTCGCTGAACTAATATAAAACATAACTTGACTAGATGCCTGACTTTTAAAGAAAGGGCATCTATCTCTTTTATGTGGCATTTCAAAGAAGAAGGCATTTAATAATGCTGCAAGACAAAGAAGGGAGTCTGTCTTAATGTACAGCTAGCCGTCTAATGATTAACTTCTCTTAATACTTAATCGGTTTATGGTAGAAAAAAGCCCCACAACAATGCCATGGCATGGTTCAGCGTTGTGCTAAGCAGTTTGCTGCACTGTCTAGAGTGAGACAAAAGCTGTATGCAGCTGTAGTGTATAATATCCTTAAAAAAAATACATGCAAGCAATACTCAAAAGCGTTTAAAAGAAGATGAAGAGGACAGCAGTGAGCCTCCACCTTGCAGGAGAGAGCGGTGGATGCGGACCCTGACGCCCTTGCGCACCTGAGATGTTTACATCAGGCTCTGCCACCTCCCCGGCCCCTCCGTCCCTCTGTCGCAAGGCCAGTGTCCCGCTCGTCCCAGCCCCGCTGCAGACCTGCAGGAGACCTCCTGCTCGGCAGAGTAGGGACAGTCTGGTGGCTGCCAGCGGTTTGGGAAAGCAAAAGGACTGCTTTTGCCCCCGCCACAGTGGGAAGAGGCGTTACCTGTGTGGGAAAATTCTAACTTGAGAGTACAATGGGAATTTAATAAATTTTCACCATGACTCTCTAAGCCAACCTTATTGCAGACGCTTCCTTGCATATATGTTGATTTGTACAGGGTAATAGTCTCTTTCCTTTCCATGCCTACTTCCTGGAGAACCAGGGAAGTTTATTTATCTTCTAACTGCTATAGAAATTGCAGATAAACTCACCTTCAGCCGTCTAAGCTTGGTTTGTGTAATTCCCATCTCATAAGAGGAAAAAAATCCTGCCCAAGGTTTTTACATAATAAAAAACCATTTTGCAATTGTAGTCTTAAAGTGCATCAGCTAAAACTAGGGAGAAAACCCTAGGAAATTGTTACAGTGGGCATGACTTTTTCATTTATGGTGATTTTATCCTTTGCTTCTCCTAAAAATAAAAATTTACACAAGGTAGCTCTCACATTGCCTCTATTTACATAAAATAGAAATCACTTTTTCCTTTCTTTTGGCATTTTTTTTTTTTATGTGAGTTTCACAGCTTAATTGCTATGCCATAACAGTCAGTACAGTGTAACAGCATGGAATGCAATGTCCATGTCATTGCTATCCCACTGGACTAGAGCACTGCATTGGTCTGTATTTGTGAGAAGATGCTGCTGAATCTGTTCTACCCTCAGCTTAAGAGAGAGAGAGAGAGAGAGAGGTGAAGTCTTCACCCTCTGTCCTCCTCCTCCAGAGGTAAAATACCTTCATATGTCCAGTTTCCTTTTATGAAAGCTTACTGCAAATGAAGAACAGGGTGTTTTGACTCGTCAGTGTATTTCCAGTTAGTTGAAAGACCCTATACTGATTTCTCATGAGGATGGTCATTATATGTATTTTCAAATTAAATTATTTAAAAGTGAGGTAGTTGTGATAAAAAGTATTTTTTTGTCAACTGTTAGCAACTGCACTCAGTAACTTCGTGCCCACAGTTTATAATCGCAGAAATACTCAGCATACACCTTCTGATGTAGTCATGATCCTGGAAATTCAGTATGCACTCTCCTTTCAAAACAAAATGAAAACTTCGAGCTGAGCACCCGTCGAGAGAGATCCCTTAGTGGTGATTTGAATGGGTGTTCTCTGGGTAGAAGACATTATGCACCGTCTGAGATCTGTTCACATCTCAAGTGCATTGCATGGGCCACCCCAAAGGGCAGTTTGGCCATACTTGCCATGGATTTCCTGGGAGGGAATCCCAGCCTTGTGCAGTCCCTGCTGCCATCTGAAATTGCCACTTAACTCTAGCCTGCTTACATTTTGGCCTAAACCTCTTAAGAGGTATGTGAACTTTTGTGAACCCAGCCTGCGCTCAGGACATGGGGCTCTGATTATTAAACACTTCTTCAATGTCTGTAACAGCTTTCACCCAAAGACCTTAGGACACTTGAATGCACTCATGATTAACTGCACACTCTGCACTCTGTCCCAGTAGAAAACACCTGGTAAAGCCATGTCAGCTCTGAATATACTTTCCCAACATGAGGACATGGTGGAGAGGGACCGGGACTGAAATTTTGTTTCAGATACCTCAGATGGATCAGCAGTTCTGCTTTTCCAGCTCTACGTTTTGAGTGGCTCTTTTCTATAGCATGGTTTAAACCATGCCATAGAACAACCAGTCCAAATTCTGGAAAAATACAGATGCCATGTACATCTATACAATATACAACCAAATCTGTTTGATGATTGTACAGTGAGATGAAGGCCAGTCCCAGGTTTAGTGTACCAGTGTATGGAGTTGAAGACCTGGTTTCCAGCATTTTCCTTTCCCACTGCAGGATTTTTGAGGGGGAGAAGAAAGCAGTTCTGCTTCTCTGTTTCATACATATTTTTACTGCTTTATTAAGCTGTAATTGTGTTTGGAACAAAGAAAATGTCCTACTGCAGCATATTATGCATAAAAATGCACTGAAGAGTGAGGTCTGCCCCAGTGTTAAGGTAGTGGTGGCTGGGTCGATGTCACGGATAACCCACGTTCAATCACTTCCACTGACTTATGTGGCCATCTCTCAGCAGAGATCTAGAAGTGAGTGCAGTGTCTGCATTAGCTCCCTTACCTTGCTCTAGGGTCTTCCTGCAACACAGAGAAGTCCTTGCCAACCTTTTGAACACCAAAGCCATATGAGTCTCTCCTCCATACAGGTGGTGTTTAGAGAGAGTTTGCTTTGTGTTTCTTTTTCCTTTATTGTTTTTGCAAAGTTGCATCTGTCCCACAGCCCAAACTGCAGGTGAGTTTGCTGTCTGTGTAACTGGGTTTTGTGTCTTTGCATATATCTAAAGGCAAATATCAGCACTGTTCCTTAAAAGCCTTCTATCTCCTTTTAGTCTTTCAGACACAGCTAAGCATAAAACCACAGATTTGCATAGCCAAAGACTTCTGCCAGGTTTCTTATGTGGCTGGGATTTTATGGCAATATCACACTTAGGTGTGACTGACAATTCATAAAATCCCAGAAGTTAGAGGTGGAAAAGACTGTTAGGTCACTGGCTCCGTTTCCCTGCCAGGGTGGGATATGCCACAGGTGTTTCTGCTCTAAGGCTTACAGAAGTGCTGTGCCAGTGGTGCTTGTCATTAATTACTGTATTTGTGAGCCTAAGACTAAATCCTGGTAATTCTGAGCACCACCTTCTTACAGCAGTGGGAGTCCCAATAGCTCAGCTCTTTCCAAACTTGGGACATCATGATTTGAAACATGATCTCCTGTGATCTTTTGTCCAGAAGAGTAGAGGACAATAAAGCACACATATGAGCTGGGTTATTCACACAGGGCATAGTGTCTATAGATGGTGAGATTTTGACAGCTAGCTGTACCTACTCAGTGTGATAACAGTCTGGCCTTGCTTATTTTTAAATCAGGGAGGAATTTCCTTTTGCTACAGGGTAGTTCATTCACAGTTAAATGTGCTCTTTCCCTCCTTAGTAGTTTAGTGCTGAGCAAATCACTGGGGTCTTTTATTATGATATTTTCTTCAAAAGATGTTTCAAGCTATTCATTACTAGCTAGCTGTTACAACATTTTGCTTGACCTTGTACGAGTAGGTACTTTTTTTTTATTTTTATTTTTTAAAGTAAGAATGAAATTCTTTTACTATTTTACGAGACTCTTAATGTATCTGACACAAAGAAAATCGAATTAAAGCAAATAGTAACTCAGTTTTTACCACAATATGAAATCCTGTTTGCTTTCTGATTGCACATCAAATGTTGACATTAACTAGCAGATATGCCACTTCCATGCCAGGGTTTCATTCTTGGAATATGAGATCAGGCTGATTCTGTGAAAATAAATATTAAAGAAAACATGCTCAATAAAGTGCTCAGCTCATAAAGGCCCAGTGCTGAGAAGTCTGGGCAGCTGCTGTCACCCCCACTGAGGCTCTCTCAGCTCCCACTTTCTGAGTTTTGCATTACAGTTGTATTTTTGCAGGTAGCCAACATGATCCCATTTCTGTTTAAAGTTACATGACTTCAGTTTCCAGTTTCCCTCCAACACTGTATTTTGAATGAGCTCTTTTCTCGATACTGCAAGTATCAGTTCTTTTACTATTTTTCAGCTGCTTCCATTTCACGATAACCTGGCACTTCCTTGGCTTGTTTTGTTACAAAACTGGAGACTTGGTTTCTCAGTGTTGTTTCCTTCTCTTTTTCAGCTTCCTCAAGTTCCAGAAATGACCCTATAATTAGACCCAGCATGCTGTGGGCAGACAGATGTACAGAAGTTAAATGTGGCACACGCTCTCCTTGCCTGATCTTCAGAAGATGTTAGAACATAAGAATCTAATGTCAGTGTCCCCTGAGCTCTTGCCTATAAAGCAAAGAATGGTTCTTGGTGAGGTAAGTAATAACCAAATGCAGCCTTTGGCTGTAGGTGAAGACAGTAACAGACAAGTTTCATTCACCCTTTGGTTATCACCTTTGAATATGTCTAGTTGGATGAAGTGGGCCCACTTTCTATTGCCCCCTTCTCTCCAACCCCTCCCCAAACGGACAGAAAAAGCCACAAAGTTGCAGAGAATTGAGAAAGTTAGGGAATCCTGTGCAGGCACTGACAACATTGGACTCACAGCCGTGTAGTAAACACCATATAACGAATTTTAAATTTTATATTCCTATAACAACAAGAGGTTCTGGACAGGAAGAGGCTCCATAACACCAGTGTGCAATATTTGTGTGTATCCACTCCATCTTTTTTTTGAAGATTTCCCAAATGCAGACTTAATCTTCAAGGAGCTTCCCCGCATGTAGACCTGCCACACCTTCATCGATGCTGTATGACTGTCCTGTGAACCAGATCCTTTCAAGATCATGGTCTGAGGAAAGACTAGATGAAAACAGGTAAGTGAGTAAATACCTTATATGAAGAAAAAGCAGAGGGAAATCTTCTTCCCTAGGGTTACATTTAAAGCTGAATAGGGAGTTCTGGGTTGAAAGGTTAGGGAGAGAAATTATTTCTGTTTCAAATGGAGCTCTTGTTGGAGGGAAGTGTTGAAATGGGAGCGCTTTGGGGCTAAGAAAGTTCCTGTGCTCAAGTAAGTGGTAGCTGAGAAATTACTTTAAATAATTTCAGTAAAACCAGTGAGCAGGGAAATTAATTTCCTTTCAAAATGATGTGGTGGAAAGGCAAAGCCTTGGGTTACAGCTCAGACAAAAGGAAAAGGTAAATGCTTTGCATTAAATGCCTTGTGCATTTCATACTTTTACAGACATCTTTGAAATTTATAGTGTAGGTGCACTGGTTCGAAGCACGAGCTCACCTTGATTAACCTCTCATGTAACACAGGCCTTTGAATCTGACCCTGTAATTTCTGCATCAGGCACCTCTCTCTCTGAGCTATAACATGTTGCTTAGATATCCATCTAGTCTTGACTGGAAGACTGCAAATAAAGGAAATCCATCACATCCTTAGGTAGCTGTGTTTAAATCACTAAGATAAGCCTGTACATCTAAGGCTTTCCCTGAAGACAAGAGAGCAACAAGAATTTGCTGAAGGGGCCAGTACTCGTGGGAGGGTAAGAGGCTGCAGATCCAGCCATTATTTTCATAAAGCTGAGACATGGGGAAAATGCAAAACATTGTTCTAGTTCCAATGCAACATGTGTAACATTGTTCTGCAGAGGACTTAACATGAAATGTATTCTTCAAAAAGTTAAAGGGCTTTGAAAGATCAATGGACTTTGACTCATTAATTATTTGGTTTTCAAGGCTGACACTGGTTGGGTGACTGGGCAGTAATGCTACCGTGAGAATAAATTAAAAATGCCTTGGGAAAAGGGAGGTGATGCTACCTGTGAAAATATTTTTTTTTGTTGTTTTTGTACTATCTGATTATGGGTCATATTTTTCTGTCCCAACTGATAAAAAAAAATGTTTTAAAAATATTTCACTTATGTTTTTAGTATTTGGGAAGCCAAATTTGGTTCATATACAAGAGCCTTAGGTAAAATTTAAACCCAATTAGAAAAGAACAAAGCTGTCTGAAGTGACACTACATGGAATATTTTTATTTTGTGTTGATAACCTCCAAATGATGTTACTCCCTCATAGTGATAAACATGTACCCAAATTTCAGTTTTATTGTTGTTTCTAGCAATATTTGTCAAAAACTATATTCCCAGTTTCTCAAACCTGAGCATGGAGTTTCAGCTGGACTAATTTCAATAACATCAGACAATATACTTTCTATATTATTTAAGTGATTTAGTTTTTACCAATGTTTGAACAAGGTGATGACCTATGAACCATACCATGGCTATGTATCTTTTTATATAGATCTTTTGATATGTTTTAACATATTAAGGAGGTTTCTTGTCTTTCTGTGTCTTCTTTTTTTTTTTTTTTTTTCCCCTTCATCTCCTAAATCTTTACTGTAAGCCTCTAATGTTCTTTCTTTTTTGCTTCATTCATTTTATGTCTCCTACTTTCCTTAATACAGGCCTCCTGTTCCTAGTGCCTATCAGTCCAATTGTAAATCCCAGACAAAAATAATCATTGTGGGTGGTTCCTGGGTGCAGGAGAGCTGGGTGGCATCAGCCCAGAGTTGAAGCTGCTGTGTGTGGGGTGGACCTCAGCTGGTGTCCATTAGTGCTCCTTTGGTGGAGCACTTTGCTCTGTTTTCATTGCATTTCACAGAGAAGGGTTTCTATTAGGTACGTGCTCATGAGGTACTTATAGAGTTCAGAAATACGTACCTTAGAGAGCTCAAGAATAAAAATAGGATTTCCTCTGAGGTGACACATCTCTCAAAATGCCTTTTTCAATGACAACACAGCCTTTGGACACCTGATTTCACTTGGTATCTGAACAGAATTAACTTGTATATTTCCCATTCAATTTTTTCATGTCTTTTATTTGTTGTTGCACCAGTGAGATCTATGGAGTTCAAAGTAGAAGATTTTAATCATTGGGCTTTAGGGTGAAGTCAGTTCCATCTTCTCATTAGATTTTTTTTTACCTGGGTTAGCCTTCCCGCTGATAGTTCTTTAGTTTCTTTACCTTCTGCTCTTTTTCCAATTACAGACATCTAAAGGAGATTTTGAGTATTTAAGATGACTGAGGTAACACCTAGGTTATACTGTTTCATGTGTTTCTCTGTTTCTCTGTTTATCTAGACTGCTTCAGCATTACGTTTGCTTTCATGCTATAGAAAGAGCCTTTCCATATTTTTAGTGCACCTTATGAGAGAATGGCAAATATTGTTAAATGACTGCACAGGTCTTTGAAAGCTATTCTGGTTAATTTATCTACAGAAGTATAATGAATCTGAAAAACATAAACTTCTTAGATTTAGGAAAATGTCTTTCAAGGTTAACAAGTTTCCCCCCCGCCTCTCCTCAGAAAACTACCCAGACAAGCACTCTAGTGGGTTCTTGTTTCCTCACAGAAGTCTCTTAAGGGGAGCAAGTGGGTCATCATCAGGTCAAGAGCCTTTGGTTATGAATGCTACCTTTCTTTTGCTTGAACGGGTAACCACACAGCCCTGCATAATGTTTGGTACAGCCTTGTGTCACCAGTTGTTAGAAATGAGGTAACGTGTTTATGGATGGAGGCATCAAGTGTGTGGTTCTATAGCTCAAAATTTTATGCAGTGCATTCTTTCTCCCTGCCCATCCAAAATTTTGTTAGCAATGGTACAGAACAACTTTGTTAAGGAATTAGAATGTGCTGGATTTGTTTAAGGGCAATTATGTCAAATGTGGGTAAAAGTACATTTTAAAAAGCTTCTGAATAATGGACTAGGACAGTATATCTTATCATTAAAATACTTAATGTGCCTGAGGTTAAAAAAAAATAGAAGATGAAAACTGCTTGGGTATTTCTGCCATGAAGACCAATGTATCTTAGGGAGAAAAGATGAATAAGAGAGATTGGAAAGTAGAGTGTCATTCATTAATCTATCACCATACCTCAACTGTTTTGGATGTTCTTAATAGAAATTATATAGGATGTTATCTGAGGATATACAAAATACCAAAATACATAAGAAAATTCACTTTTCAGGTACATAATATAATTAAGTAAATATATTTATTTAGTAGCCTAGTTTCAGAAATATGGACTAGACACACTAGTCTGTGGTAGCTGCCTACACCAATTTAGTACAACTGGAAGAATTTTGTCTGCTTAGAGTTGCTCATATGCAACTTTTCTGAAATTTCTATTATTACCACTACAATACTGGAAATCATAAAAGACTTAGGTGATTTAGGACTCCTATGCATAACATACTAGTACATTAAAAGTCATCATTCTTAGATCTCACTGCTACTTAGACTTAGCCAAACTGGAAGTGAATGAAATATAATTTTTGCACACAATAACAGGAATGTGCTCTACTGAGCATTTGGCTACAAAAATATACACTTCAAGGAATCTATTGTACCAAAAATATAAAGAGTTTCCATTTTTAGCAGGTAAAGAGGAAAAAAATAAGTGTAGATTACTGTCCTATGGAAACTTCAGACAATTGTTCTTTGAGGTCAGGAACACACTGGTAGACTTCTATAGTTACCAGTACTGTTTTCTATGCAAGACTTTTATGTGAAAAAACTTTTTAAACTACACAGTAGAGATGGGATTTATTGCACCAGCCATTAACTATTTAAAAGTTAGTATTCTATACCAAACTAACTGTGTAGGCAAAGGAAAGAAGTAGACACCAAGTACCAACTCTTCCCATCTACTCATAGATGGCTGTCTGAATAGAGGGTGGGCACTCAAGTCCTCATTAATCTCTCTTCATGTATGAGAAGCAGAGGACCTACCATGTTGTTAGGCAGAGCATTGGAAATATGAAGTAAAATGTTTATTTTCCAAAAGCAATTAGGTGCTAGTGAGGTCTTGCCTGTTTTGAGCACTGCTTCTAAAGGAACTGGCTAGAGTTTGGCAAGTGCTGGCCTATCCAGCAAATGACGATATTAAAAAATAAAAGCATTGAATTTGGAAGGCAGCATTCAAATAACTCCCAGTGGTTTCTAATCCATATCTTGAAAAGGACCCCAACTTTATGCTGCTTCTATAATAACATTAACAGAGCAAAGTAGATTAGTACAATCTACTACAACCCAGTATGTCCAATACAACCCTCTGACATCCAGGTCCCTTCCAGACCACTTTGCAAGTCCAACTTAATTATTAGCTTATGTTAAGAATTCAGAAGCAAATTTTACATGGCCTCCATCTACATTAGGCTCACTGTATTTTGGGTCTGTTTTCCTATGCCCTGCTTTGATCTCTTGTTTTATTTTGATTGCTTCACAGGATATCAGTAATTATTATGGAAGCAAAATGAAATTAAATCAGAGTTTTTCCAAAAGGTTATAGGAAGTATGGACTCATAGCCTAGGAAATCTTACCAAATTCAAGTCAACTATCCAGCCTGTGACCACAGAAGTGTTTTAGGAAATATTCTTTCATTTTTCTTAATTTTATATATCATGAGGTGCTTAATAAGATACCATGTGTAATGCTGAAGTGACCTGCTTCTACTTTACAAGTGCAATTACCTAAACACAAGTTGGGTTTTGTGCAGTTTTCTGCTGGGACGTTGAGGAGATGGCAGGTGGTAAAGCAGTCAGTGCCAACTATTACAGCACTGCCCTTCTGGAAAGTGAAGTTGAGGTGAAAAATGTGACCACATCTCTGGGTCACCTTTCCCCTCCGAGCCTCCCACACTGGAGGGAAGCCTCGATGTTCAAAGGCTTGCATTGTACCCGTGGCCTTTCTAAATAACATAAAACGCACTCTGGTTCAGTGTGGGTGGGCAGTTAAAGCTAAGGTAAACAACCCGCATTGCCAAGCGATATTTTTTTAAGCAGTAGGCAAGATGCATTTCAAC